GCCTCCCAAAGTGCTAGGATTACACACATAAGCTACTGTGCCTGGCCTACCCTGTTAGAGGATAATTGTGTGGCACATTCTGAAGATCATATCTCCTTCCTGCATCCTTAGTGTTGATGAATATTGGTGTTAATTACAAATGCAAGTGGTTGACTTTCAGTTGGCCAGTAGAAAGGGTTTTTTCCTCTTTGAGTAAATTCTGATTTCATCAATAAATATAAATTTCTCCAGGTTAGTTTTTCTGCACATAAAAATTTTAGTATCCCTGGTTTCATTTTGAGCAATGAGTAAATGTTAAGCCCTAGAAAGATTTTTACTGCATTTTAAGTATGAAGATGAGTAAGATTTGTTCTTGACTTTCTAGATTTGTGAAAAGTTACAAGTCTCTGTCAACCACTGATGTGAACGATGAAGGTTATATTTTTAGATTGTATGTTAATTCATGGAAGGAAAAAAAAGGATGACTTTTCAAGGCAATACTATGTAAGATGTCTTGAGTGGGTGTGGCACTCTCATAATTGGTACAAAACAGGTAATGTAGAGCACAAGTTGAATTGACCATAAGCAAAGACTCAAAGCACTGACGTCCAGTTGTGGAGGGCAGGGCCTGGGCCTGGAGTTCCTTTTGAGAAAAGCTTTCTAAAATTTGTGTGAGAATGTGTTGATGGAAATAAACTGGTGCCTCGATTGGAGGAATGGGGGCTGTCCTTCCATCTCTCCTTCTCCCTTCTGTGCTGACTAAAGCCATGGAACTTGGAATAGTTGACTTAAATGGTAGAAAAACGAACCTGATTTCTTGTTATATTGGACCTATAAAACTTCGTATTTTTCTTCAGAATGTGTCTTGCTGTCATGTGAACATGTTGATAGTATCATTGAATGTCACAGTATTGATCACCGTGACTACCTGTCTTGGAAACTGAGACTTGAAGTGTCAGAGGCTCTGTGAACTCTTCTGCCTGAACAAGCCCTGATGAAACCCAGTGATGCGAATGTCAAGGGAATCTGAGGCTCCGGGTCACATGCTGGGTTTATGGAGCAGTTCTTGACAGATGGATTGAAGGGGGTGGTGCTAGCCGTTCTGGAGGCCTGGCACACATTGGCCTATTGTTTATGGAAAATACATTAAGGAAAGGTGATAAGTTACTAGCTTTTTCCCCTCTCTTCTGCTTTGTTCTTCCCAGCTTTTTTTCCCATTTCCTTCGTTTTTTTCCTTTCTTTTAACCCCCATTAACTTATTAGTGAATGATGAATGGCCAGTTTGTGAAATTTAGCATTTTCTTAAAGCTTCAGTGAATTCCAAGATAACTCACTTTATATGTGGGTACCACTGAAAATAGCAAATTGTTTATGCCAGTATAGTCTTCATTAATGACCAGTAAAAGTCATGATTTCTTTTTTAAAATGTGTAATAGTAAAAATATAGGCTAATCTCCTATAGAGATAAGATCTCCTCTGTATAGGGGGCATTGAGAACTTTGCATGATACCACACAGCTAGGATTTATGAAACATTTTTGCTGTATTCTCTTGCTGCCACCCAGGAGTGATAACTGACCTAGATTGGGGTCCTGCTGAAGTCATATGAGTGTTGTTGTTTGCCAGAGCTGCAAGACTGAACTAGAACGAGACTGGATTGTGGGATTTGGAAAAGCCAGATAATATGCATAGCAACTCTCCTTTATTAGCCAGTCCTTAAAAGAGTATGCGGAGCCTCTGCCTATGGAGCTCCTCTACTTCAGAGCTCACCCAGCTTTCAATCATTTGTTTTGAACTGCAGTCATATATATTTAAGTGATAGAAGGCATCAGTGCTTCCCCTAAACCTTGATTTTTAAAAAAATTTCACAGACATCCACAGACAGGCACAGTGGCACACATGGTATTATTCTAATCTGGTGAACACAGCATGGAGTGAGGGGTGATGCATTTCTGCGTGGCACTTTGAAATACCAGAGCCGTCTTTTAAAGAAAACTTTACCCAGCTTATATGATCTGACCCATTTCGAATATGCACGGCTCTTTCTCTTTCTTCTTCCTTTTTTTTCCCCCTCCTCTCAAGGACTAATGTAAGTTTGCAAGTATTTTGATCCTGTTTCTCCCCCACCCCCAGGCTTCCATGGGCTTTGTTTCAGGCCCTGGGGAGGAAGAGTGGTGAAGGCCATTGACTCACTTGACTCCCACTCTCCTGATTCTGGTTCTGGTTGGGCATCATCTTGCTCTAGCCATGTGGCTGAAGAGTACTGTAGCCTGCATCCCTTTCTTGTTGCTTCTCCTGCTGTTCCCTTCGGTTGTACTTAACACTGGGAGCAGGTTCTGGGCTTCTTGTCTCTTGTTTCTAGTTTACTTTAGTTAGGCAGTAAGTAGGAGAGCACACTGTATTTCCTAAGGATGGCTGTGGAAAAGAAAAACACCCTTTCCTTTTGAGCCTGTTTATAGTAATTAGTTTCCTGTGCCGTCTTTGTAAAAAGTTTGTTTTTTGGCAGGTGTCACATTTGTGTTGTATTATTTCCTCTTGGTTTTTCTCCTTCCCAATTCGAGCTGTTTTTGTGAGGGTTCTTGGAGTCCCTTTCTCTGGCTGCTGATGCAGCACTTTAGTTAGTTTGTTAATATGTTTGATATCTGATGGAGAAGAGGACTGAAAAAAACTCTAAGTAATTATTTAATTTTTTAAATGTCTAAATGTTCTGGCAGTCACCAAGCACTAAAATCCGCATGAGATACTCAAAATTATCTACAGTACCACTGCTATTACCAGCCCTTCTCCTAAACTACAGTGGTTCAATTATTCTGCCTTTTATACTTGAGAAATAGAATTTTGAAGACTTGAAAGTTAATTTTATAAGCATTTGATATTTTATTAATTTACATTTTGGTTATTCTGCAGATGGTTTCTGCAAAGACTTTAGACTCTGCATACTTTTTTAAAAAATATTTAGTCAGGCAGTGCTAGCAGAATATAGTATACAACAGAATTTTTTTTCCCAGAAATTGGCCTTCATGTGATATTTTAGTTATCTAAAAGATTCGATAATACAAATATGAAAAATTTTCTCAAGGCTGTATTTTGTATTGACTTAAAGGTTTTAAAAATTCAATTTGTAAATTTTTTTTTTTTTGGAGCAGTCTTGCTCTGTTGCCCTGGGTGGAGTGTTGTGGTATCATCATAGCTCACTGCAACTTTAAACTCCTGGGCTCAGGTGATCCTCCTGCCTCAGCCTCCTGAGTAGCTGGGACTATAGGCGCATGCCACCACACCCGGCTAATTTTTTCTATTTTTTGGTAGAGACGGGGTCTCGCTCTTGCTCAGGCTGATCTTGAATTCCTGAGCTCAAGGGATCCTCCTGCCTCAGCCTCCCAGAGTGCTAGGATTATAGGCAGGAGCCACCACATCCAGCCCCATTTTGTAAATATTTTAATATTCAAATATGTTAAATGAGTAGCCTTTAGGTTTAGATTCTTTAGAGAATATGGGAAGTTGGTTATGAAGCCATAAGTAGGAATTTGAAAATTAATCTGGCCTTTATGGTTTCATTTAATACTTTATTTAAAGCTCTTCATTTACTTCTTTTTCTCCATTCATAATCTCTATTAGAAATTAGCCATCTATTTTTATCGGGAATAGCACACCTCAGCTGATAAACTCACTTGAAAGTGTATGAAAGGAATGTTGCTTATATTTTCTTCTAGCCATTAGGACAGAAGAGTCAGAGCCCAAGTATGACCCCAAATAGTTGCTGTATGTATTCTCTGAGCCATTTGCTGGTCTTTGGTCCCATCACTTTACACATTATGTGAAGAGAACAAAGGCGTTTACTCAGCAGCATAGCTGTAAGTACATAGTATTGTTATGAACAACGTAAGTCCCTTCCCTCATGGGGCTTACATTCTGTTGAAATGTATTATAATAATGAAGGTATCCCAAAACATATTTATCTCAGATTTGAACAAGGTCTAGAAAGTTCAAGAAACCTTGACTTTAGTTTTCATCCCATATAGCTAAGTCCCTACTCTGCCTAAACAAATGTGTGCATTTCCACAGATCCTATCCCAGCAAAGAAGTCCTGCTTGTGAGTTATATTTCAGTAGAGTGTCTTTTGTTTATATTGCATATTGCTGGGATCAAGTTTCTTTGTTTAAAAATTCATGTTCATGTTTTAAACTGGGATAGATACATGATGTTTGTTTGCTTAATAAAAAGTAGCATGGCTGGTGTCTGTGTTATCAGATGTAAAATATAATAAGCTGGGTGCAGTGGTGCACTCCTGTAGCCACAGCTACTCAAGAGGCTGAGGCGGGAGGGTCACTAGAGCCCAGGAGTTCAAGGCTGCAAGGTGCTACAATCAGTCGTATCTGTGAGTAGGCACTGCATTCCAGCCAGGGCAACATAGTGAGACCTTGTCTCTAAAACAATAATGGTGATGATGACAACTAAAAATGTGCTAGTCATGGTTCAGAGCTCTTTGTATATATTTGCTCATAAGAATGGTATTGCTAATCATCCTTTAATTTCATAAAGCAGGACAACAAGGCACAGGTAGGTTAAGAAAATTGCCCAACATCATACAGCATATGAATTGAATATGCAATATGGGTTGCAGTATGATGTGCGTATGCAGTATGAGTTGAAGCAGGATGGCTCTGGAGTCATGTTCTTTACTGCTGCACTATACTGCCCTTCCAGCCTCGCACACTAAGCTAGTAATAGTCAAGAAATTGGAACTCTGCTGTGGGATCTCTTTCACTTTTTTCCATCTGTGTGCCTCAGTTGCCCTTTATACATAAAATGATTTTTACACCATCAGTTTCATATTAGCAGTAATGTCTATTAAGTGCTTTGAACTCCTCATATGTAGAATCTGTATAAATTTTAGATGTAACAAGTTTTAGATGAAGCTAGTTATAGAAAAGATGTCAGAGAAATATAATTGCTGCGTATTTCCATGCACCTGATGGAACAGTATTCTGATAGATTTTATTTCTTTTTATCTTCATTTGACAGAAAAGAGTAGTTGAACAGCTACGGAAGAACCTGATAGTAAAGCAAGAACAACCAGACAAGTTCCAAATACAGTCATTGCCACAATCTGAAAACAAACTACAAACAGCACAGCAGCAACCACTACAGCAACTACAGCAACAACAGCAGTACCACCACCACCACGCCCAGCAGTCGGCTGCACCCTCTCCCAACTTGACTGCTTCACAGGTAAAAGTGTAGATGGAGCATTGCAGGCTTCATGTTGTAGGTTGGTGGTCATGTAGAATGGATCCTGTTTCAGACTGTGCTAAGCTCAACTAGAACTAAACAAAAGTTATTTGGGTTACTTTTTTGTACTATAACTGGGATAAGTATCACTTGAAATCATTGGCAGAAGGAAATAACATTACTAAGGAGCAAAAGTTAAATGATTTCCCACCTGTCCAAAGAAGAGGGCAAAGGTAGTCAGTGACAAAGAAAAAAATCACTTCTGTGCATTACAACGGAATTAAAATCTTATTTTGAATTTCTGGAGGTATTTATTTATACTTGTTCTAAAAGTCTATGACTTGACCTCTTCTGGAATTGTTTTTCTGGAATTCTAATCAATTAGCCATAGAGCTATTCGAGGATCAGTGCTCTTGGGACCAAGTAGAAAGAAGCATTCAGAAGAATGCTATATTTCCATTATTCATAGGAACAAAATATTCATTTTAAGTCCATATTCATGAGAAAATGAATCTGTTCTAATACACTGATGGGAATCTGAAATGGAAGCTACAGGTCAAAAGTAGAACTAAGAAGTGGGAGCTTAATAACATTCTAACTTAGTGTAGCTGTGCAAATGTTTTTACTGAAAAGGGCATTTAAACAAGCATAAAATGTAAGGATAGTGAGGCAATCAAGATACACAGAAAGGGCATATTTGGAAATGACATTCAGTTAAGAAAACTATTCAAGCTTGTTCTCTACACACTCATATGTAATATGGATATAACTTTTAAAAAGGGACTATTGAGCAGTGGTTCTTGATCCTTGAGGGTCACAGATCCTTTTAAGACTGTTGAAAGTTATGGATCCCTGCCAAGAAAAATACATATTCACATTTACTATACTCATTTTTGTACATTTCGAGGACTTTAGGACCTTCTGAAACGTAAGCATGGATACCTCTCACCCACCAACACCAAGTCTTTACTATGTCTTTATAGGTGGAGAAAAATATTATAGTTCGTTTGGCCATTCACTGTATAGGGACATTGGGCAGGGACATACGCAACATTTTGCGAGTGAAGAATGAATTATTTATAAAAATACTAAAGAAAAAAAAAATACTAAAGAAAGTTAACATTTAATAGAGGTTACTATATACCAGCACTCTCCTAGGTGCTTTACAGTATAATAGACATACCCCCTAATCCTATGAGGAAGGTGTTGTTGTTATTATCTCTGATCTTTAGAAGAGAAAAAATAAGGTTATGTAATTTGCTTAAGATTGTATAGGCAGTATGTGATGGAACCAAGATTTAAACCCAAATGTTCTGACTGAAAAATCTGTCCATTCCACTACTCTTTTATACTGCCATTTAGTACCAAAAATAGAAATGCCAAAACTATAAAACCAAAGAAGGCAAAATAAAAATTCCTGTTGTAAATCACATAGCTAGAGCAGCCTATATAATTTTAACCTAATCACCACCCCAAGGCTATTTGGAAAGTAGGCATTTAAAACTTACTTTAAAAATCCCCTTACCAGAACTTGTATCGCTTCCGACAGATCGCTTATAGGATTCCTTTTGTCAGATTTTAAACAGAGTTGGGTTAGGTTGTTCTCTTTCCAAAGTAGAGTTTGATCAGAAAGTATTTACACAGGAGTGTGGAAGAATTCATTGTTTCCTGTTAACATAGGGGTTTTCTCTCTTAAACCATGGAAACTTTCTGTTCAAGTAACATTCCACGTTATATAAATCAAAAGAAATACTTATAAAATACTTACAATAGCTGTTCCTTTCCCTGGTAGTCTGAATTCTGTGCTGCTTTGGGATGGTGGATGGTGAGGGGCCCAGGGCTATCCCCAAAACAGTGTTATATAGCAGCTTTCCCTCTGGTAGCCCACCTGATATATTTAATTGATTTAGCCAAACTTTGCTTTATATTATTTTATTTAATGCAAATCTTTAATGTTAAAAGCCAAAAGATCCTCTGGATTTTTGGTTTTACAGTAAACAGCTGTGACAATACCAGAGGATAGAGTAATTCTGACTGGAGGAACCAGAAAGGAGGTAGCATTTGGGCAGTGCCTTGACAGGTGAATGGAATTCTAGGGATAGAGCAGAGGGGAAAAAAGCATCATAGATATAGAGAACAGTATGAACAAAAGTCTGGAGTCAAAAAAGTACATGCACGCCCTGGGAATAGCAAGTAGGCTGGTGTGGTTGGAGTGTGGATTCCATGAGTCAGTGGAGAGGGAGATAAGGCCAAAAGGCAGGAAGGGGCTAGCTTGTGGTGGAGACCCTCCAATACATGCCAAAACTTCTGGGGCTTTTGGCAGTCATACTTAAGTCTTTAAAGGTTCATGCGGACAGGGACAAATGGGAGGTTATATATGGCATATGTTAAATATGTAACTTCAGAAAGGCATAAGTATTAAGTAGCAATCAGAGTGGGCTGGGAGGAGATGCCAAGAGGAGGAAGTTTTTTTTCTAAGTTGGGTGATTAGCTTATACCAAGGCATAGAGGAAGCAATGAGAAAGTCTTTGTGGGGACGAGAAGGGCCAGTTCCCTTTACTTATTAGTTAACTCCAACTCATGCTTATACATATATTTTGAAAATTTTCCCATCTACAGGAAAAAGTGAAAGAGTAGAACAGTGGAATACTGGTATACTCTCTTCAACCTATATTCACAGCCCTCTCATTTGTAATGATATTAGGTTATTAAGTATGACATGTCCAATTTCCTTAAGTACTACATTTGACAGTTGATATCTCTGACATTTCACTTTGACACTTCTTGTTTTATTTTTACTGTGAAGGTACATCCTCAGTCTTTCAAACACATAGTTTGGCTTGTGCCTATCTTTCAAATTTTTTTTTAGAGCAATTTTTGTGAAACCATGGATAAGTAAAAAATTTGTGTTATTTTGGAATATGAGTTCTGTCATGGAACCAATGCTATGCAGACAGCTTGAAATATCAACAAATTGTTGGAGAAGGATGTGTCTAATGAATGCACAGTAAGTCGATGGTTTGAGAAGTTCCCTTCAGGTGATTTTAATCTTGAAAATGAGCCACGTGGGCAACCTGAGACCGAGGTGGGTAATGACGAACTGAAAACTGTAGTGGAAGCGAATCCATCTCAACCTAGGTGTGAATTAGCAGCAAGGTTCGATGTTACTATTCCAACAATATTGGACCATTTGAAACAAATCGGCAAGGTAAAGAAGCTGGGTAGATGGGTACTGCATGAATTAAACGAGCCTCAGAAGAGAAATCACCTTGAAGCTTGCCTCTCTTTGCTGTCGCAACATAAAGGCAAACCATTTCTACACTGTATTGTTATATGTAATGAAAAATGGATTCTTTTTGACAATCACAGGCATTTGGCACAATGGTCAGATAAAGATGAAGTGCCAAAACACAATCCAAAACCTAATATTCATCAAAAAAAATCTAATGTCTGTTTGGTGATCCAGTGCTGGTATTAAATATTATCCACTACAGCTTCCTGAAATCTGGTCAGTCGATTATAGTGGATGTCTGCTGCAACCAATTGGACAAAATGATGAGGATGGTTGCGATTAAACAGCCGAGATTGGTCAGTAGAAACAGGCCAATCCTCTTGGAAAACAGCGTTTGACCACATGTTGCACAAACCACCAGCTGCTCAAACTACAGCAGCTGGACTTGGGAATTTTGTCATCCACCGTATTCATCAGACCTTGTGCCAGCTGACTACCACTTCTTCCAGACTTTGGACCACTTCTTGCAAGGAAAAATATTCTATTCTCAACAAGATGTGGAAAATGCCTCTTGCGATTTCATCGCCACTTACTCTCCAGGCCTCTTTGCTGCTGGCATAAACAAGCTACCATTTAGATGGCAAAACTGTGTCTATAGTTTAGGCGCATACTTTGATTAATTATACTGCTTCTTTGAGATATAATAAACTTTTGATTTGAAATCGGACATTTCATATTTAATGACCTAGTATAATGCAAATGTAAAGAAGAGTACAGTTAATAAAACCAAACAGAAAATAAACCCTTATAGACAAAAGGAGCAAGTTCTATTGTGGTTTCTTGAATGTACAGTAGTGACTTTCCATTCAAAATTAAACAAACAAAATAATCTAAAATAGATGTGAAGGTTAATTAGAACTTATAGTAATAATCCCTCTAAATTCTGATTTATACATTGGAGTCCATCTGCTTTAAATCAATACCTCATAGGCTGGGCGCGGTGGCTCACGCCTGTAATCTTAGCTCTCTGGGAGGCCGAGGCGGGCGGATTGTTTGAGCTCAGGAGTTCGAAACCAGCCTGAGCAAGAGCGAGACCCCGTCTCTACTGAAAAAATAGAAAGAAATTAATTGGACAACTAAAAATATATAGGAAAAACTAGCCGGGCATGGTGGCGCATGCCTGTAGGGCCAGCTACTCGGGAGGCTGAGGCAGGAGGATCGCTTGAGCCCAGGAGTTTGAGGTTGCTGTGAGCTAGGCTGACGCCACGGCACTCTAGCCCAGGCAACACAGTGAGACTCTGTCTCAAAACAAAAAAAAACAAAACAACAACAAAAAAATCAATACCTCATACTTTGCAGGTAAACAACAACAGTAACAAAAAAAAAATAAAAAGAATTTTAGCACCACTTGTCATGCTATGTCTGCATTAACTTCTAGCTCATGCAATTCAGATTTTGTCAAAATTAAAGAACTCCTTTATGAAACTTTGGAGAAACTGCTACCTTCTCTTGAAGGTGATCATACTCAGACAGCATTAACCAGCCAAGGACTAATCATAGCTTCCATAAAAATAATTTTCTTTCTTGTTGGACACCTTTCTGTGTCTTCTTGTCCTCTTTTCAGAACAGTTCAGACATTTTCATTAGACTTGTATTTCAAAGGTCTGGATTCCCTTTGTCATCCAAAGCCTAACATTCCAAGAGTTTGATTTATTTTCCCTAGTACTTGAAATAGAAGAAACACCAGATCAGGACTAAAGATCTTAAACGGTACCTGTGTCTTGATGTCAGTAAACAGTCAATGTATTCTTCAAAAAGTTCTTATGAAAGCATATAGTACTAGGTCCTGTGCCTGTATACTATACAAATGGAGCTATACAGATGCTAGAATATGTATAGTGAAATCAGCCACAACTCAATATTTGTAAAATAGAATAAAACTGCTAACGTAAAATGTGGACAAACTTGTTAGGTTTCAGTGTTTTTTAAGTGTTGGGTTAATGGTAAGAATATAATTCAGGTGAGTTTAAGATTTTAGTCAGTATTTTCTAGAATAATCAGTTTAGGGTTTCTCAAAATACTAATAATGATTTACTTGAAACAAAAGTACATTGACCTCTTGTAAAGCAGTAATAACATGTACCACTGTTTTTAAAATGTATGTCAATAAGGGAAGGGGAAGGGGAAAAATTAAAAAAAATTTATGTGAGTAAATTCTCCTGACTAGACCTTTTACTCCCACAACCCATGGTAGCACCAGGATTGAGTGCCATCTGGTGTGACTTGCTTACCACTTCAGAAGTTCTTTGTATTAAAACATTTTTAGTTGAAAGATAGGGCTACCAGACTGTGTTAAAAACACTGACAATAAAGAGCTGGTAACATAGAGTCAGTCCTTGCTGCTATACTACTGTAATGTGTCTAATGATAAATAGCATTTGGCTTTTGTTTGGTTTTCATCACTAATAGAAAGTAGATGATTCACTATACCCCAAAATAAATATCAGCATTGCCCTTTCACTCCCATTTCACATTTGAGGAGGCTATGACAAAGAGAACACGCCATTCCTGTGTTGTTGCCTTGGAGAGGAGGAAACAAAGATTTGGGTGATTTTAATTACAGGCATTAATAAGGAATGCTGATTAGGCTATGATGAGGTAGATGAGGCCAAATCATTAAATTTTTTGGTTAAAAGAAAAATGAAAGATGTTAAAGGATTAGATAATAAATGTGTGTGCACATAAGGCAGAGAATGTAAATAAATAATTACCTAGAGCCAAACATCTTAACACACAGGCACTTACATAGACACTGAAATAGAATCCATAAGGGAAGTCATCTGGGTGTGTTTCCAGGAGAGCGGGGATGCTTTGCTGCTCTGGCACAGTGCTGTCCAGTGGGACTTTCTGTGATGTTGGAAATGTTCTCTGTATCCACTGTACATCCACATGTGGCTTTTGAACACTTGAAATGTGGCTAGTGCAACTGAGGAGCTAAAGTGTTGATTTTCTTTTGTTTAAATCAATTTAATTTTAAATAGCTGTGTGTGGCCAGTAGCTACCAAATCAGTGCAAATAGGGAGTAAGAAGAAAAAGGTGTAGAGTAGTATCAAAATCAGAACCAACCAGTTGGGCCAGATTCATTTTTGTGTCCCTGAAATGTGTGTATCTTGAGTTACTGGCAGCACCAGGTAAATGTGTCTACCATGTAATGAAACTGTTCATATTTTCTTGTTTTGTAACTGAGTCCTTTAATTATTGTAGTAAAAAGTCTAGAAAATACAGCCTCAAAGCTGTGGTAGCACTTGTGGAGCTTCAGTCAAGTCCTCTCACCTAAGTTCACCCTCTGATCTCTAAGTCTTTTTGAAACTCAGGTGTTTGTTTCCACCTTGTCTTGTTTTACTGCATCTTTGACCACTTCTGCAGCAGTTCTCCAAAGAAGAGATTATAGGTAGTACCTCATATCCCTTTGGTATCAAGAACTGGTATTTTTCTATACTAGTTGGTTAATAGGTTCCATTATCTGAGCTTGGGGCTTACTGCCTCTGAAGCAATATGCAAATCCTCATGTGAGTTTCCCTTCCCTCTCTCCTGGGTGCCACTCAAAAAATGAAAAGACACTATCCTTTTGCCCTAACCTTTATGTCACGGAAGGCAGACATCCAGAATTATATGATGGCTTGCTTCATATTGATGACGTTATAGCAATTAAGGATAGAGGTGATATATACCTCATTGATTTGCAACTTGTACAAAGTTTAAACTAATTGACAGCAAACAAAGAATTAGAAAAACTAGAACAAGCACATTCATTTTCTGTATCTGTAAACTCATTTGTTCATTGTTGAAAACTCTGTGCCCATATTAGTCTGCAGTTATTACTATGAACTTGCCCATTCACGATTGATGCTAATTTGACAACTCGAGCAAACTAGAGATTGCCTTTCCCTATAATAAGAAGTGTGCTCGTATATACACAAAAGAAATGCTGTTATACAGAGAAACTAGATTATGAGAATTACTGCTTTGTTTTCTTCTGGGGTTTAGCAGCATATTGTTTAGTGAGATTTAGTTTATTGTTTAGATTTAGTGTCCTAATATCTGTTCTCCATGTCTCCTAGAAGACTGTAACTACAGCTTCTATGATTACCACAAAGACACTACCTCTCGTCTTGAAAGCAGCAACTGCGACCATGCCTGCCTCTGTTGTGGGCCAGAGACCTACCATTGCTATGGTGACCGCCATCAACAGTCAGAAGGCTGTGCTCAGCACTGATGTGCAGAACACACCAGTCAACCTCCAGACGTCTAGTAAGGTCACTGGGCCTGGAGCAGAGGCTGTACAAATTGTGGCAAAAAACACAGTCACTCTGGTAAGCCAGCAGCTACATCTCATGTGTGCCCACATGAGAGGGTTCAGGATGTGCACTTGTAGAATATATACATTTTAGGTTCCTGCTGGATTTCTCAGTTTCCATCATTCTTCTAGCATACCAAATTTCCCTTCAGGGCTGACAAGGAATAAGGGAATATGGCATTTCTACTATCTGCTCAAGTAACTGCAAAAATATCATGACAGCAAGGACCAAATTCCATTGTATTATCTGAAATCAAGGTATGACTTGATTTTAGAGCAAAGGTGTCCTTCACAGCGGCATACACACTGTTTCATTTATCTCTCCCTCCACCCTGTCCACAGTTTTTCCTGTGAAACTTGAGTGCTTAAACTCTATTGTGCTATATTATTACTTTGGAGAAAACCCCGTGATAATTCTTTTAGTTCACTATCCTTTTAAACTGATTGCATCCAGGAAGTACTGGAGTTAGTTGCGGCACTTTAAAAATATTCCAGAAACTCACAAATTAACATAGTCAGTGTTCAATTCTATCAGGAAAAAAAAGAGATCCCTTGTACTTGAACAAGAATTGTCCATGAGATTTCTAGGATCGAGCCATTTAGAAAATTGATATTGTCAGAAGCTTGAGGGAAATATATCTAAATTTTGGTGTAAAATTTCCTTCTTAAAATGGCAGTGGGTTGGGCACGATGGCTCACGCCTGTAATCCCAGTGCTTTGGGAGGCTAAGGCAGGAGGATCCCTTGAGCCCAGGAGTTTGAGGTTGCAGTGAGCTATGATTATGTCATTGCATTCTAACCCAGGCAACAGAGTGAGACCCTGTCCCTAAAAATAAAAGTAGGGAAAAGCATGGCAGCTAAAAGCTCTTGGTAGCTTTTGAATGTTAACCAGTGATGAGTGAAACTAGAGAGCAATAAAGTGAAGCTTTGCCACTTACCCAGAAATCCTTAGAGAAGCAACCAAATCACTCAGCCAGGTGCTGAGAGTTAGAAAATTCTCTATTAGAATAAAGCTATTCACTGTTATAGATAAAGCTTTTATATCGGGAGAAGGCCCACTTGGCCAGGCAGCAAGTTTGATTTTACTTTGGATCCAGTCTTGACTTTTAAAATATGTAAATATAAGAGTTCCTGAGTGTCAGAGGAAATTGTCTAACATTACTGAGCCTGGTATGTTCTACGTTAGGTGCATGAGGAAACAGAAGTGTGGTTGGTTTACCTTATAGGATAAAGCATGCAGGTGAGAGAGTAAAAAAGTTTCCTAATGCAGTGTTAATTCAGGTGGCTAACTCTACAATGAAATCTTGTGGAAAATACTGTCTGACCCAAAGAATAGAGATGCTGAAAATACTTTAAGAATGCCTAGCTTTGATATTGAACAGTAATTGTTCTCTTTGGTTTATTTATTTTTCCCATTTTTTAGCAGGTTCAGGCAACACCTCCTCAGCCCATCAAAGTACCACAGTTTATCCCTCCTCCTAGACTCACTCCGCGTCCAAACTTTCTTCCACAGGTGAGTAAAGCCAGTGACAAGCCCAGTGATGGGTTAGGTGGGACAGAAATCCTCATGGGCTCTTTCTAAACATCGTGTACTAGGGCTTGTCAGTTCAGCTGTATTCAGATCCCACTTAGCTAAAAATTCTGACTGCTGATTTCTATACCATGAAGAAGCTTATTTTATCATCGTTTATTATTAATAGCAATGACCAAAGGCAGTAGCAGGGGAAAGTGAAGTAAAAGGAGATTATCCAAAATTTAAAACAATAAAGATACCACCATTATAAACCTTACAATATTAACTTATCGAAAGAATTTAGCCAAAACCTGCCTGACAGTGGGAAAATAATGCAGTTGCCACTTGTTATTTCTTTCCTATATGCCAAGAAAAGTAGGGAAGGAAACAACAGCCAAACCTACCATAGAAACCATTCAGTTCTACTCTAGAAAGTGATGGCATTGAGCATCATATTGTGCAAAGACTTGCTTACAGAGCTTAGGCTAGGAGTCTGTATAGGGGACTTTCTACCTAGGCCCCAGCAGCTCTGCTTGCCCATGTTCTCCTGAGAGTGTTCTTTCAGCACTTAAGCTGACCCTCACCATTCTCACGATGGAATGTCAGGATAACCCAAGTTTGGACATTGAGGGGTGTTGACTTGCTTGGTAGAAAGATTGAGAGTACTTACATGAGGCCCTAGGTTTCAGGCAAAGAGAGAAGAGAAAGGACTTTTGTGCTCAGTGGCATAAATGATGTCCAGATAGCCTCTGGGAAAGGGAATGGGCAATACTAACATGAGATAAGATGATTTTAGTTATTTATCAGATAAATCCTTAATAAATGCCTTGGGTAGCAAACACTGTACTAAGCCCTATGGATATGCCAGTTTTCAAGACAGTTGTCTGTCCTCACAGCACTTCAGACACATATACAGCCAATTACATTGTCTATTATGGGAAGTACAGGGTAGTGTGAGAACATATGAGAGGGACACCTGCCCATTTTTAAGTGTATTAGAGAAGGTTTCTTCAAGGTTTCCTTGAAGATGAGACATTCAATCTAACCTAAAATCCTAGTAGAGTTGGCCTGACGACGTTTTGGAGGAAGAATAAAAATGTCCCAGGCAGAGAGCAGAGCAGATATACAGGTCTGGGGTGGAGAGTGCTTATAAGTTTAAGGAACCAAAGGAGATTTGCTGTGGCTGAGCATAGAGTGCCAGCTGGCAGATGCAGACTAGAGTTAAGGGTGAGGCCGGAGAAGCCCATTGGAGCCAGAGCCTGTGGAACCTCGTAGGCTGTGTAGGAATCTGGGCCTTATGTTGGGGGCAGGGGGAATCCAGGGAGCAGTGGAGATCCATTAGAGCTGGGGTCCCCAACCTGTGGTGAGTTGTATAATTATTTCATTATATATTACAATGTAATAATAATAGAAACACAGTACTCAATACATGTAATGTGCTTGAACGATCCAGAAACCTCCCCCCTGCAACTCCTTGGTCTGTGGAAAAACTGTCTTCCATGAAAATGGTCCCTGGTGCCAGAAAGGTTGGGGATCCCTGCATTAGAGCATTTTCAAACAAGTACTTGATGTGGTCAGATGTGTTTTAGAAAATTCCCTCTTGCTACTGTGCAGAGAATAGATTGGACTTGGTCAAGACTGTGGGCAGGAGGGACCATTAGGATGTTGTCAATAATAATAATGTTCCTAGAATCTTGCTACACACTAGATACTGTGCTAGGAACTTTACATGGATTATCTATTTTAATCTTCTTAACAACCCTGTGAAAGCATGTATTACTCCTTTTAGGATAAAGAGTCTAAGGTTTAGTCCATGTTTTTCAAACTGTGGGTCATGACCCATTTGTAGGCAGTAAAATCAATTTAGTGGCTTGTAACAAGAATTTTTAAATGAATAGAACAGAATAGGAAATAATAAAGTACATAGTATGTATTATGTACTCTATTTCATGAAGTTTTTGTTTTATAGAGATATAAATAGGTATCTATATGTGTGTACTGATGACAGTGTAAAATGTATTTCCCACTATGGGTCAGTAGCACCCACTAGAGGGTTGTTTTAGGTTGAACTAAACATTCAGACACACAAAACTTTCATAGGCCACAGTTGGCATCAGTCTACTTGGAAGATAAAGGACAGCAACCACAGTTTGTCAGCAAGATAGCATCAGACATTTTTCTTCAATGGGAATCCCCACAGGAGCCCATACAGCAGTCCCTACATCTGTCTAGTGATAACTCAGTTGCAAGAAAATGAGATCTTTACCCCAAGGATGGTGGGAGAGCTGCCCTGACATAGAAGCCTTATGCCACAGAAACCCATGTATCCTTATAACAATTCCATAGGAATGGCTTTGAAGGTCCCCACAATGGACATGCCCAAGTTAGAAGAGTCACCCCACTTAGGGAAGCCCAAAAAGCACGGTATCCTGTGAAGTATTTGTAATTCTCCCCATCCAGATTCGGTTTAGCAATAAGGGGTCATTTTTATCATAAGCAATGTTGCCTAGAAACATAGTTGACATTCTTACCTTTATCGGGGTTCTAGGAGAAGAGAGCTAGAGAGTTAACTGAAGGTCATACTCTTCATGCATAGGAGGAAAGGATTTTGCCCACAGGGTCACAGTTTAAAAAGTTTGAAAAATACTGGCGTAGAGAGATCAGATATATTGCCTGAGGTTACACAGCTAATAAGTGGTAGAACCAGGATTTGGACCCAGGAAAAGCTAACTTCATGTTTTTAACCACAATTTTTTTGTCACTGATTCAGTAGTGGCATTGAGGATAGAAAGAAGTAGGCAGATTTAAGAAATGTTTAGGAAATAGAGGTGGAGTAGGAAGCATGAAGAATGATTCTGAATTTTATCAAGAAAAGACCATATATAGGAGGAAGAAAGGGTTGGAGGAAGAAACTGATGAGTTTTAGACATGTTGCTTTTGAACTTACTGTGAGATATCCAAATAGAGATGTCTAACAAGCAGTTAAACATGATTCTGAAGTTCAGGAAACATCTCTGGTCCTGGGATAAAATTGTGAAAATCTTCAGTACACAGATGGTAATTGAAGCCATGAGATGGGTGAAAGCTGCCAGGAAGAGTGAGGACATAAGGAAAAAAAGGAGTTCCAGGACAAAATCCTGAGAGATACTCACGTTTGGGATTGGACAAAGGAAGAGTAAGCCCACAAAGGAGACAGAGAAGAAGTGGCCAAGAATAGGAAGAGTTAGAGGGCCAGAAACAGGGGCAAACTGAAGCTGTGGATATAAAGAAATGTAGAGTGTGAAATAAGTTACCATACTGGGCACCAGTTCTGGGTGGTACCAGTCTCCGGATTAGGCCTTTGACCTCAGCCCGAAGAGGTGGCATGGTATATGAGAGGGAGCTGAGGGTTTAGAATCAGAAGTATTGTGTTCTAGGGTGGGATCTGGACCCTCTTCAGAGCTGATGAGTTTTTTATAAGATTTTATGTCCTGAGATATATAGAATTGATAATACCAAAATGAACATTAATAAATGTTTGTATTAAATACCATTTCACACATACAGTTTGGAAGATTTGGCAATGTTTTAGACTTATAGGACTTGAGCAGTTTCTTTAAGTAATACAATAATTATTCTCTCTTTCCCCTATAGGTTCGACCCAAGCCTGTGGCCCAGAATAACATTCCTATTGCCCCAGCACCTCCTCCCATGCTTGCAGCTCCTCAGCTTATCCAGAGGCCCGTCATGCTGACCAAGTTCACCCCCACAACCCTTCCCACATCCCAGAATTCCATCCACCCCGTCCGTGTCGTCAATGGGCAGACTGCAACCATAGCCAAAACGTTCCCCATGGCCCAGCTCACCAGCATTGTGATAGCTACTCCAGGGACCAGACTCGCTGGACCTCAAACTGTACAGCTTAGCAAGCCAAGCCTTGAAAAACAGGTACAGGCAGAGTATGTGCCTGCTCTGGGCAGCAGCCTTGCCGTTGTGGCGTGTGGCTGCTGAGCTGTCCCTAAATACACCTTCTCAAGGGCTCTTCATCTCAGCACCATTGTCAATAAGCTGTTATTTATCGTGTGATAATTCATCCACATGCAAAATGGCCATTCTTACTGAAGAAAGTTGGGTTTGGTCACTTTTCCCCCATCCCTTTATAGGTGGGTTCAGATTCCTGTGTGAGTGAGCTCCCCCTGCTGGTTCTGATGCTGAAAATCACAGATTGGCTCTGCTGCCCTCAGTTAAGAAGCACAGATTAGGCAGTAAACAGAAAACGCCATATTAGTTTTGGCCCAGTAAGAATCCAGGTGAAGATAAGGCTGTGGAAGCCAGGAAGAATAAACAAAACAGGGAAAGGGATTTCATTTCAAAGATTGTCCTTGACTACTACAGATAATGAGAAGCAAAAAAAACAGTTAAAATTTCCAAAAAGCATTCTTTTAACTTTAGAGGATGCAGATATTTTAGCTCAAACACCGAAACCTTTCATTCATCGTTCTGAAGTCAGGTTTTCTCTTAAGGCTAGAATAATACAGGTAACCTCAAAAAACACTTAAAGATTTGTAAAGAAAGACCCGTAAAAATAACAAAAAGATGTATAGGCAGTCACTGTATCCTATTTTAAAAAAGACCAATGATAAAAAAGAACAATTTTGCCAAGATTCAGCCCGAAAAAGCTGATTAAAAATAAATATATAAAGAATTTTGCAAAGAAAAGTATCCACTTTAAAGAAAGTTGCTTTAAAAAGTCATTGATCTGTTTCTAATTGCTCAGTCTTGACTTACTCATCTGAAAATAGCCTCTGGTGATCTTGAATCTTCTTCTGGATGGCAGACCAGGATTCAGAGAGGCTCTACAGATGGTGGGGAATGAAAAGGCATCTTGCTGCCTTCGCCTTCTTGAAGAGAGGAACCTTATGCATAGAGCACAAAGCCTTCAACTAGTAGCTCATGAATTCAGCAGACCTGGCACTCAAAGAAGTTAGGTACCAAAATCTTGTGCTCAGATAACACAAGAGAGAATACGTCTCTATTCCTGGGGAGCCTGCTCAAAACCCCAGGAAGTGCTTTGAGGAATATTCAGAAATAAATTATTCACATATATTTTAGATCAGAAATTTTCAAACTTACGGCTGCAGAACGTCACTATTAAAATACTGAAAGTCAGGTTGTTCAAGCTTAGGAGTTTGGGTGGGGACACGTCTTGTGCTGGCTCTCAAAGAAACTCTGAGGAGCCTTAGTACTCCACAGAATGTGTTTTCACAACTCAATTTAGATTACTAAGTATTACTTATTTTTGATCTCTTTTGATAAAAGTATTTTTAGGAGACAAAAATTATTTCGGTTTTATTTTGACGTTTCTTTTTTTTCTGATTACAAAGGTAATACATGTTCATTAAAAACAAAATTCAAACATTATAAAAATATAGTTTATAGAAAGTACTCTCCCCCATAATCTAAAGAGAGAGTAAACTTTCCCATAATTTTATCATAATTTTACCCCCAAGAGTTAATTGGTATTATCAATTTTAGATTATGTTCCTACAGATATTTTCTGTGCATATTCTAACACATTTTTAAGGCAAAAAACAAAATTAAACTGTATATTATTTTGTATTGAGCATTTTTTCTTGGTCTTTATGTTGATAGAGCTTTTTATTTTAATTATATCACAAGAAGATACTACGAATTCTTAAGAATTAAAAAAAATTCTTTTGTAGCAGTAAATTCCATGGTCTCTCTTCTTTTTAGTCAAATAGGGAAATTCAGTCAGTGCTATTTTAGTTTAGCAGGCCACCTGGCATAATAGTCTTACAGGTTACCAAGCACAGTCAGCAGGGACTCTCCTAAGATTTTATTGTCAGGATTCTCTTACTTCAGATCTTTCTACTATCCTTCTTTTCTATTTTATGTTTCGTTTTCGATATCATATTTATAGCCATTAAGAGATCGCATAGATGGATTAAGAGTAAAGCAGTGCAACATAGGTAGCTGTGGAGTACCTGTTCACACCTGTTGACAGAGTTCTCAAACCTGTGTTGAACATTCTCTGTATAACCAGGGTAGAAGGGTTTCTTCTGTTTTCTGCTGTTTCCTTTAGGTGATAACATCATACATTTAATAGAAATGCGTTGGTGAAGTATTAATACCAACTGCTATGCTGCCCGTGGTGTCTGTATGCAAGGGTGGATAAACCAAAGCCTACCTATACCCTTATGGAGCTCAGTTTCTAGTGCATTTGGAGCAGGCAATGAGGCTCTGCCTACAGAGAAGGAAATATAACAAATTTTACAGTTCGGTTGCCTCCCATGTTGGCATAGGAAAGGGAAGAGGCAGTGCCAGTTACAACAGTGGTCTCACTTCTTCTTCCCTTGTTAGGCATAACCATCTTCCTTATCCACCCCAGATAAGAGCTCTTGTCCCTTATTAGAAGCCACATTACATCATGGCTCTGAGAAAATGAGTGATAGGGTTTAAAGAGCTTTGAGGCTAAAGACGTATTTTAGACAGAAAGTAGATGAAGCCAGACAAACTTGTGTTATATCCCTTACATCACCTCCTTTTGTGTCCCTGTCCTCTCCAGCACTGTATGAAATGGGGCTAACACCTGTTGATGATGAAATGAGCTAGTGTTTAATGTTTATGCCTAATGCAGTTATTTCTCAGGAATTATGTTCATTTCTTCGCCATCCCATGCCACACCCTGCAACAAAGACCTCTATGTGTGTCTTCAAGGCTCACCTGCTGAAAAAAATCCAAGGTTCTGTGGGGGAAAATTGCCAGATTGTCCACTCAGCCCCCTACTCCATATATATTTTTCATAGGAACCTGCACAATATTCCCTAAAAAAGGGAGTACTTATAAGAATATTATCCAATGTATTTATCCTCAACTTCCAGTTTTCCTGCTCAGTAAACCTGAGCTGATAATTCCCTTTCCCATTTTAATACTGTTACTATAGTAGGGAAAATAGATCCAAGTGACCAAATAATGGATTTTGCTTTGCCTTTGATCCAAATTTATTTAACTTCGGTTAACGAAATTATTTGGACATTTGTTTATTTGCATTTGCCTAACTTTGATTTTCATGCAGCCAAGTCTCAGAAGGTGAATTTGAAATTCAGGGTATAATTGATTAACTTAGCTCTTGATTTGTGCAGAGTTTTTGGGTTGTTTTATAATAGCAAAAAGAACAGGAGTTGCAAATTCAAATAGCCATGGGTTCGTAGCAGCAAATGTAAATGAGTAAGCAGGCTAGGAATAAACAAGTGGACTTTTTATTTTTCCACTTTCAATGGGAAAATGAGTGCAAGAGAGATCCCACTTTTATTGTTAATTCCTCTTTAACATAGTAAAGACAAGCATGATAATAACTGACAATAGAAAATGGAAGAGACTGTGGTAAACTGCAAAGTAATATGTACCATCTCAAGGAAGCAGCTGCTTCTTGGCAATAACCAGTTTTTATCATATGGAGCCTCTTTCAAGAAAAGCCTGAAATCCAGATGTTTTAAAAAGTTGCCTAGTTGTTAAAATACTGGTAACTGTTTAAATACCATGCAGACAAAAAGTAACATCTGCAGGGCAACTTCAAGTCTGGATAATGGTTTTTAATCTCCGATAGAGACCAAACTTAAAACAGTCTTTTGTTTTCTAACCTAATGTTTTTTTTAAATTGAGGTAAAATTCACATCACATAAAATTAACCATTTTAAAGTGAACAATTCAGTGGCATTTAGTACATGTGCTTACCACCACCTCTATCTTGTTCCAAAACATTTTCATTACCCCAAAATAAAACCCAGTATCCATTAAGCAGTTACTGCCCCTGGCTTTCTGTCTCTATAGATATACCTGTTCTGGATATTTTGTATAAACAAATTCATGTAATATGTGACCCTTTATATCTGGCTTTTGCCACTTAGCATAATGTTTTTGAGATTCAGCCATATTGTAACATATATCAGTGCTTCCTTCCTTTTTAATGGCTGGATCATATTCCATTGTATGTATATACCACAATTTGTTTATTCGTTCATCTGATGATAGACATAGGAAAATACATTTTGTTTCCACTTTTTGGCTATTGTGAATAGTGCTGCTGTGAACATTTGTGCACAAGCATTTGTATGAGTACCTGCTTTCAATTCTTTAGGGAGTGGAATTGCTGGGTCATATGGTAATTCTGCTCAACTATTTGAAGAACTGCCAAACTGTTTTCCCCAGTGGCTAAACCACTTTTCATTCCCAACAGCAATGTGTGAGCATTCCATTTTCTTCACATCCTTGCCAACACTTAATTATTTTCCTTTCTTTTGTTTTGTTTATAGCCATTCTAGTGGGTGTGAAGTACTGTGGCATTATGACTTTGATTTGCATTTTTCTAATGACTAATGATGTTGAGCATCTTTTCATGTGCTTGTTGTCCATTTGTATTAATATATCTTTGGAGAAAGGTCTATTGAAATCCTTTGCCAGTTTTTGAGTTCTAAGTGTTCTTTATATAATCTGGATACTGGACCCTTCCTTATCAGATGTGCGATTTGCATATATGCAATGATTTGCAACTATTCCATAGGTTGTCTTTTCACTTTCTTGATATTGTCCTTTGATGTGTAACTCACACATAACTGATTTTTGTCTTGATCTTGTACCCTTGCTAAATTTGTTTATTAGCTCTAGTAATTATTTTGTACATTCTATAAGGTTTTCTATATATAGGGTTTCATGTCATCTGCATATAGTGATAGTTTTACATGTTCCTTTCCAGTTTGGGTGCCTTTTATTTCTTTTTCTTGCATAATTGCTCTGGCTAGAACTTCCACTACAATGTGGAATAGCAATGGTGAAAGCAAACACCCTTGTCTTATGGCTGATCTTGGGGAAAACTTTCAGTGTTACACCATTGAGTATGTTAGATATAGTTTTTCATGAATATTCTTTAT